ATGGTGCAAAAAAAACACATTGATATGGAAGTTCAGAGCATTAAATATATAGTGCAATTATGCAGTGTTTTAGTTTGGTGTTGTCAGTGTGATGCAGAGTCTGTGACATGATTTAGAGTATTTGCAACAGTTCAGCTGTCTGATGGCAGTGGTGAAGAAGCTGTTTTGGAATCTGCTGTACCTGCATCAGATGCTGTGAAGCCTCTTCCCAGAGGGCAGCAGAGAGAACAGTCAATTGCGGGAGTGGGAGTGTGAGGGATCATTCATAATGTTATGGGTTCTGGACACGCAGGGCTGGGATGAAGTATCAACTTTATATGAATACTAAAGAAGGTATATATTTGTTCCATCAAACTGTAATGGTTAAACCATCTGATCAAATGTAATGGTATTCTCATTCTCAATTAACAAATATGGATAATTAGATCTATTGACCTTGGAAAATTATAAGCATTATCGGAGGCTGCTTTGGGCTTTGAAGACCCCAAGCAGCGGTCTAGATTGCATTGCATTTGGCCTATGAATGTCATTGGCCCAAAACACACAATTCTTGTTGGAAGTGGCTAACTAAACCAACATGGTTTAACATTTGTAACTTCCATTAGCCCCCCGAAAGCCTAACAATGCACTGTCGCAAAATGTAACAACCTCCCTCTGTGTTTTGGAATCTGATTGCAGAACACTTTAGACCACCACACTGAGAAGACTTGTAAAGACCAGGCCACATTTACATCTCTAGATAAAATGCCACATCAGAGAACCATACATATATCTAACTAGAAGCACTTAGAGAGCGCAGACCTCCACCAAGCAGCAAATTTTACCCCATCTTGTGACTTACATCTACATTTAAAACTTGCAAATGATCAGAATCATTACCAGATTTTAATGGATCGCTCCTTGACATGAGGCACACCTATAAATGTCCTTTAAATCCATTTAGAAGTTCATACAGTAGGTAAGGCACTGTGTGAGGCAACATCCTCTGCTGCTGTTCTGCTCTCACCTTCTTCATTTACTCTGTACTCTGCTTTGTTCTTTGAGCAGCAGCTCGAAACTTTGAGTGTGACATTGCTCCCCTTTATGGTGTTTTTGTATTTTGTCTTCAGAAAAGTACTTTCTGGCTTTTTGAGCCTGATGCTGAAGCTGTCAATAGTCACTGCTACCGCCCTCTGGTTTAGAGGGGAACTACTTGTTATGTCAAATATCCCTGTCTCAGAATCATAAAGAATACTTATATTATGATCTGCATCATCACTAAAATGTCCCTTGGCACGGGGTGCATCTCAGAAAAATATATTATAATCAGTTCAGAGCTTTTCAAGTAATCTGCAGAGGTAAGTAAGTCATATCTGTTTTGTTGCCTAACAACTTTTAGCTTAGTTAGCTCTTGTTTTTAGGGGGAGCTCAGACTGCAGTAAAGCATGCCTGCCCAGAGCATCGATGCACTCCAAGTACGAAACCCTTGGGTACCCATTTTGAAAAAAAAAGTCTGTTTATTGATTTTCTTTTTTATCTCTTGGGATTAGTGGGTCTGGTGTGTGGGCAGCAGTTATTAAAAATGGCAGGTTGAAAAAAACTCAAACCGTGTCAATAATCAGAGGTGTGTCAGTGATGACATGTACTATGTATTGTTTTATAGCTTGATCTCTGAATAGGTCAAATTACTCTTGATGAGTTGAGTAACTAGAAATGTTTACTGAAGCAAGAATAGCAGTACTCTCAAAAGAACATTACTCAAGTAAAAGTAAAAAGTACTATAAAATACAAGTACTCCAGAGAGTAAATGTTTTCTTCCAAAAGTTAACAAGGTGTATATAACTAAGTAGATGTCACAACTTACTATCCACCTTTGTTAATAATTAATGGAAACAACTTTAATGGCATTACAATACCTGCTGTTTTTTCATTAACCATATAATTGCGCAAACTGTAATTACAAAAACAAATTAGCTAAATTGAACCACCTCAATTTTGAATCAACAAAAATTGTTCAATAAAAAGTTTTTTGGGTCGTATCAAAATTCGTATATTTCGTGAAACTGCTATGGAATTCTTTTTTTTTTTTGCATTACAGAAGTCATGTGATCTCCAACTGGACCTTGTCTAGCTAATGCCTCATAAAAAGACATAGAAGTTCAGAAGAAGCTGATGATGGCGCCCCCTAGAGTTCTGGCTGAAATATGGATATATCTTGTGTGTTTACATCGGCCTCTGCCATGTTTTGAGATATCGCCTGAACAAACATATTCATGTTTAATTTAATTGGATTTCTTATTTAATGGAAATCCTGCAATTGTAAAACTAGCAAAATTAGGAGAATATCGATATAGTTTTGTGGACATTTGCAATAGAAACGCAGCTAAAGTTGACCAAATCTTTGCCTATTTACACAAATTCTTTAGCCAGTGTTTCTTTTTTGAAATGAGCTCCAAGACTTTGAGGTAAACATAATTTTTATACTGGCTTTATTTTCTAATAATGACTGTTTTGCTCAGTGCTATAAAGAGTCAAACCAAACAATCTCTATCAGTAGTTTTCTAACCTGATCCTACTGAACCCCTGTCCTCTATGTTTTAGGTATTTCACACACCTGACTTAAATAAATGTGTAATTAAATGGCCTTGGCGCTCTTAGATTACAGGTGTTTCCTTATTGCTTTCAAAGGATGACCCCCTTCTGTCATTTAACACCCAAAATATCTCATTAATGCAAAGTGCAAAGTGTTCGATGTAATAATCAAGATTATCTGCTTTAAAGGTGCTAATTGGTGAATTAGGCAACCTTTGGACAGAGGTAGGCTGTATAATATACTCTATGACTTTTTTTTTTTAAGCTGGCTCATATTTTCCTTTACTGTATCTTGTTGAAGTGTTTTCTCCCCTCAACATATCCAATTTTGGATAGGGAGATCAAAAGCTCTGTATGATAACCTTAAGATGTCTAATAAAGAAAACAACCACTCCCTGTACAGTCCACTTGTTTTCCACTAGTGGTGCTTCTTTAACACATATTCTAAAAATGAAGATAAAGAGATTTCTGTATCTGCTGTGAAGTTACATTTTACCCAAGCCTTTCTGCTTTATCAAAGTGGAAACTTTTGCATCTTGATGGCAAATTTCAATTCTTTCATAATTGTTTGTTTGTTCCCTCTCAGGAAAGTTTTAATTTACTCTAGTGTCCAAAGAGGTTCAATTTTAGCTGGAGAGTAAACACAGTTATGGATGACTGTTTACTGTTTGGGAATCCTTCTCTTTGCCCTTCCCTGTTCCATCTAGATACACGAAAAAAGCAGCGGTGCAGCAAGAAATTCTTTATGGTGTTTACACCCACAAATAATAAAACACAAATTGTGGAAAACCCTCAGCTCTGCACAGTTCAATTCATTCAAAGGACGCAGCCCTGAGAAACAGTGGTGAGACCACTGATTTTGTGCTGGCAAATATTTGAAGAGCTAATTTGGAAGGGCTGAGTTTGCTGATGCTCATGTGTGAGGTAGTTTTCATGTGTGTCATGCATATAGCCAGAAACCAGGAGCTAACAGTTATTGCAATAAATACATTCATTGCATATTTCCATATCCTCTAAACATTTTCACATTTTGACATGAACTAGTTACAAACATTGTTGTATTTTATTCCAATTATATGCAATAAAAATCTACTATTGTAAATAGGCAGGATTTACAGTATGTTTTTCTTAATGTTTAACAAAAACACTGGACTGCTTAGCAATTAAACTAACCTTTTTGTTTTAATAACTCTGTAACACAATAATATATATATTTTTACATGTTTTTCCCCAACTTGATAAAAGTCAGTCAGATTGAATGAGAACATCTGGGGAAAAATGAAATGTCAGATTTAGAAAGAGATTTTCAATTGAATTTAGGTCTAAATTTTTGCCCGATCATTCTAACTCATGAATATACGGTGATCTAAACTATGACACTGAAAATCTGACTGCAGGATAAGGGACAAGTGAGAATATTTGCAAACTAGTCTCTTCTGCAGTCTATTACACACTGAAAAAAATAAGGCAACCGCTTTTGGCATTTACTTAATCATATTTAGTTACTTTAACACAATTGTTTTATGTCCTACTCTGCCAACATGAATATGTTGAGTAAAAGTCAAAAACACTTGCATTCTTTTTTCCTCTAGATTACCTTGCATTTAGTCTACTCCATCTGTTCTACAATTATGATTTGCTCACGTGTTGAAATAGTTTCCTTGCAGTCTAATGCTGCCACTACCGTGTTTAAACATGGGTAAGGTGTGTCTATTGGAATGTTCAGTGTTGTATCTTAAACCAGGGTTTTATTACCCCTTGTCAACAGGCTTGCTGTGTTTCCCTGCCTCCTCACATCTGACCTAAATGAAAAGGCGATCCACGGGATTTTGAAGCATTTAATGGCTGCTCAGGAGGCCATGCAATCATTTGGATCAGGTGTGCTTGAGTGGAGAGAGACATGTCTAAAACATGGACAATGGGAGCTGAAGGTCAGGCTAAAGAAACTCTGTCCTAACGCACACAGGGTATGCTAAGTAAGCCAGGTTTCATCGAACCAGCTGACATGATGAACACTGTATTTTTTTTTCATGGCTCTAATTTGGGATTGGTAATTTATCCTCATGTGCTGTCACTGCTCTAGGGAAATCATTCAGGCATTCAGTCAACTAGTAGTTAAATGTTTAAAGTATCTACCTCTCTTTTGCTAAACAGCCAGACGGCCAATTGCCTCCTTGATCACATGAGATGACAGCCTCTCCGTTCTGCAAAATTGATCAGATTGATTGATTTTGTTGTTTATCTCTAAAACTTTCAATCAAACGGTCAAGGACAAAGACAGAAAAGGTACGGTGGGACACCCTTATGCTGTGTTACTTCCAGCAGATGAGGACCGGACTCTCCAGTGCGCCCTGTGCCCAAGAGGGGCGGGTTTGGGTGGCAGAGCGCAGGGACAGAGAGCGCAGAAGGAGTGAGGAAGAGGAGGAGGAGGGGAGGGCAGGACTGGCAGGGTGCGGTCTGAAGTGGCAACAGATCACCGTGAATCGCCCAATTCCCTTCAAATCAACTGGAAAGCTACAGATTGTCGCATCTGGGGAAGTCCAGAGGAGGGCAACGAGTGAAACGAGCGCGCAAGGGGCTTGTGCGCAAGAGAGAGGGGGGCAGAGAAACCACAACACTGCAACTTGGATGTCAGCGGCCGCACTCTCTCTCTTTGACTCTCACACCCACCAAATCGACTTTGAACCTGTTTGTTTAAATACACGGACTTTACAGCCACTTATTGCTGACTCCAGTCAGGCGGTTCAGAGCGGAGTTCCTCTCATCTGTAGGCATAAAAAAAAGCTTTTTTGGTATTCCAATGGTGCCTCATGAAGACACGGGGTTGACCTTATTTCATCCAATATTTACGGGTGCGTCGATTTATTTTTCACGGTAAAATGGGAACTAAACTGGAGAGGCACTGAAGACATCTCTCTCTCTCTCCCCCCGGGAGAGTCCTCCCACCTTTCCCCGGGGCGATGCGGATCTCCTTCCTCCTTCTCGCAGCCTCTCTGTGCGCCTCTGTCCTCCTCCTCGCACCTGTCTCGGAGGGCTGCGGGCCGGGGAGAGGATACGGCAAGAGGCGGCTCCCCAAGAAGCTCATCCCGCTCGCCTACAAGCAATTCAGCCCGAACGTTGCCGAGAAGACTTTGGGAGCAAGCGGGCGACCCGAGGGAAAAATTACCCGCAACTCCGAGCGCTTCAAGGAGCTCACCCCGAACTATAACACTGATATAATCTTTAAAGATGAAGAGGACACCGGTGCAGACAGACTCATGACTCAGGTAAAGCAGAGGATATGCGTAAAAGGGCCTTATCATGCGTAAAGTGATAAGCATGTCATTTTCTAGATCATATTGTTTATCTGGGGGATCAAATTACACTGAGCTGAATGAACCAGATTAACCACAGTGCTGGTCTCAATTGTCATCTGAATGTTTGCTGTCAGTTAAATGTTTAAACCAAAGTGATTGATTCCATTAACCCTTCCTTTCACCTCTGGAATCTGCTACCTTACATACTTAACTGCTGAGGCTTCCTTGAAGTGTTGCCTTCATTGACCCCAATCTGGCAATAATTTTCCATTTGACTGAGCCTAAGTGAACCATTAGGAAGCATTCCTATCTCAGTTCTAGTTATGCGTATTTTGCCTATTGCATATCTAGTTCTGTCCAGGTTTTATTCCTTCAGCTTCTGCTGTGGTTATTTTACGCAATAAATGACCACATATATTTGCAAATCATTAAAATGCATGTCCACTCCTTGACTTTCAGCCTGGTTTGTGTTTTCAAAAAGAATAAATCTCAAGCAAACACCACGATCACAGTTGTGTGTACTTTGACCATTCACCTGACACAGTTGGGACTTGGAGCAATTATTTAGAGCCCAATGTTGACATGCTGTTATTAAACCCTCAACTTTTTGGTTTCTAAGCAGAACCCCTTTCTTTTGGTTGATTTTTCAGCTTTTTTCATATTATTTGAAAATTATATTTTATATGGACTGACTTGTATTGCTTAATAGTAGACAAACTAAACTTATTGCCTATTTTTTCGCAAAACAAATGCTTTGACTTTTTATGTATAATCTCTCTTTTCTGGACCAAGACATTCAAAGAGATGATACTTCTGTTAACACAATGTTAAGCACAGAACCTGTGCATCTTGTTTGGTTTGTTTTTGAATTTGTCAAATGGATCTGTTTTCATAATTTGCAACTATTTTTTGGCGTTTTGCGACTCATGCTGAGCAAGGCTGTGCTAGAGAGTTTCAGAAATTCATTTTTGCCCCACTGTCCCTTCGTGCTTGGTCTTAATGAGGGATAGCTGCAAACTCAATGACTCCGTGCAGTAGATAACATGTTATCAGTTGTCACTTTAAACTAAACTTGTAATATTGCTCCTGCCAAATCTGTTTCTCCTTCAGGCTTGGTCCTGTGAAAGAGAATTGTTCTGTTCTGACGTTTTCAGCAAAATAACTGAAAGAAAAAAAATATGAATCCATAGAGAGAAAACTGGCAATAAAAACACCATTACACTTCAGCTTAAAGTCTGAGAATTTCCAAAACCAGAAACTGTTTAACATTGCCAGAGATGGACTCAAAACCAAAACCAGGGATGTAAGACCATACTTAGCTGTGTACACTATAAGCACCACCCTATTTTTTCAATTGACATTTACTCGGAGCAATGTTTTTTTAATTCATGTCTTAGATAAGATTATTTTCACCAGCTTCTAAGTGAATTTTACTACCATTTTATCTATCATTTCATAGTTTAATTTCTCTTTTATTTTCAGTATATTTACTGGTTCTACATTAATTTCACTTTCTTTACAAGCCCTTTGATCAAAAGTAAACTTTCATTTATTAATTAAATTCCACTGCTCTGTTTTATACTTATAATCAAATATTAATGAATCTACCTCAGTGGTTCTCAACTCTGGTTCTTCTGTCCTTCATCTTTTATATGTAGTTTTACTGCCACACTCCTGACTTGCATAAATGAGTGATTAACAAACATTTGCAGAACTTGATGTCAGTAGAAGAGGTTGTGAAATTATTTAAATCAGGTGTGCTTTAACAGAGACACAGAACATGCAGGATAGGGGCACCTCATTGAATCTAAACTTTTCTCTATAACTAGATTGTTTTGGACACATTTGTATAATTTTACAAGTATATCATTTTGGTTGATATATGTCTGGCTAATTTGTTAAAGCAACACAACATAACTTTTGACCCAAGTGTTGGATTATGTTTGGATCTATTAAATTACTTTGTTAGGTCGTTATGCAGCATTTTGTGCATAGCAATGTGCCACGTATTGGCCATTGGGGTCTCCTTAAATACTAGAGCTAACTAAGCTAAAAGTAGTTGGCAGTAGAATAGATATGACACCTTATTAGACATACTTTTGGTTGTCTGATGAAGGATTCACTCTAGAGGGGTGAATATTGGTTTGTCTGAACAAGTAAATACATCACTTCTCATTTTGCTGTTTGTCTATCAGATTCCAAATCACAGACGGAGGCTATTTCATTTTGCGACAGTGCAGCATCACATTCAGGGGGACTAAACTTTGCCGTTAAAGCCTAGCACCTCCAGTGACTAAAAGTTGAAAAGTGTTGCATTAACGTTCTTAGAAATGCTGGTTATTGTTATTTGTGCTATGTGAAAGCAGTGAACCAAATTGCAGATAAACCAGCTTATTTACTGATTTTATATCTTCCTTTTTCTTTGTCTCACCCAGCGGTGTAAAGACAAGCTAAACTCTTTGGCCATCTCTGTGATGAACATGTGGCCAGGTGTGAAGCTCAGAGTAACAGAGGGATGGGATGAGGACGGCCATCACTCAACAGACTCTCTACACTATGAGGGGCGTGCTGTGGATATCACCACCTCAGATAGGTAAGAGCACCTAAAATTATACACTGTGTGATTCTAAATTAGTAGTGATCTATTAACCATATCACTATACTAAGGACTTTAGCAAACCTTCTTAACCTGCTTAACTGGACATCTCAATTCCTTTCTTGACATTTATTTGTTGTTGTATTTTTATTCGGTTTCAGTAATCCATTGTTTTCCTGACAGGGACAGAAATAAGTACGCCATGTTGGCCCGCTTGGCTGTAGAGGCAGGATTTGACTGGGTCTATTACGAGTCCAAAGCCCACATTCACTGTAGCGTCAAGTCAGGTAAGACCAGTTTAAGAAGTCTTTATATTTGAATATGTCTTCCTCTGTTGTGATCACAGCTAAAGCTAGATACCTTGTGGGGTGACTGTCTTCTTATGTAGTATCCCTTTGAGCCCCTGTGTTATCACTTTGTGAGGGTGTTTGTGTGTGTAGGCCTACTGGGAACCAATCAAACATAATGTGCACCTGTGGTCTTTTTTTTATGCACCCTGATTTTATCTTCAGGTCTCATCATAGATTTAGTTTGTCAGATTATATGGAGCACCTATCCTAAATACAAATCCTTCCTTATTGTATGGCTCAAGTATTCACACAGTGTGTGGCAAAATATTTCTGCCCTTTAACCTTAACACTAGAAGTCTATATGATGTATTTATTTTCATGAACATTTGCTCTGAAGCATTTGCTCTGAAACACCTTAATTCCTGTGCAAAAATGCTTCAAAGTCACTTCATCACCGTTCACACCATGAAAGAATTAGAGGAAATATAGGAAAAGGTTCCTTAGTTACATGAGCCTATATACATTTTTTTTTTTGCCTGTATGGAAGATCTGTCTAATGCCAGTTTCTCAAAATGTTGGTAGTATCAGGATGTGCGAGTTCTTTTTTTCCATGGGGTCTTTAGAACTAGCTAGAATTGAAGGTAGAGTGTATAGAGTTACGTCCAGGGCAACTTCAAGGTAGAAAATATGTTAGATGCTGCAGACTTGAGACTGGATAAATGCATCACCTTCACCTGATGACTTCAAGCTGATATCAAGTCCTGAAGTTCTACTATCCTGCAACATTTAGGTGGATCCCTTTTCCACACACATTAATTAAATGAATAGTTTGTAGGCCTCTGCAAAGCTAAATGGTATGCTGAAGAGGGAATTTAGCCATATTATTCAGGTGTGCTGAAGAATGGATATATCCAAAAGATGCAGAATAACTGTCGCTGAGAACTGAATAACACTGTCAAGGACCAGAGCTAAATTCAATTTAAGTTCCAAGATCTCAACTTCTGTGTTTTCAATTCACTCTGACTGAACTTTAGCTGTTTTACAAGAAAAAGTGTAGAGGAAGGACCTAATTTAAACAAAAAGAACTCAAACAACTTCCATTTGTAAAAGCAGTGAAAGGTTTTCATCACTAGGACCTAATAATACAAACTCACCGCACACCGTTAAGATCTTTCTATGTAAAAAATAAAGTATAAACTTCCTTTTTCTTCACCGGTGATTTTTGTTAGTATGTGAGATACAGTCCTGAAAAAGGAATTTTAAAGATAGTGGTTGTCACGAGACAACAAAACTGAAAAGGTCAAGGGGCATCAATATTTTTGCAAATAATAATAATATTAATAATAATACATTTTATTTAAAAAGGCGCCTTTCTGGACACTCAAGTTCACCGTACAAAAGCATAAGAGCAAAAGCAAAAGTACAAAAGAATATATGTGCATCTTGTGCCAATTTGAAGTAAAATCTAGATTCCCAGATAGTGTTTTTGTTACAGTTTATTTACTTTTGCCATACAATTTACAAATCTCATCATGGATGACTTAAGAGTTTATGTCTTTCTACAAACAATGAGTGTGAGCATTCCACTTCCTCTTAATCAAACTTTTGAGACATTTTAGAAACCCATATACTGACGTCTGGTACCACCAGTTATTTAGTGCCAATCCACACTCTAGCAGTCCACCTAGGTTAGTAGGCTGTGAGATGATTAACTCTCTCTTTGTTTTTGCCGTTGCTTTGCCTCCAGTGAGTTTCTTTCAGATCTCTTATCTGAATCTTATCACAGTCCTCCTTTTTGTGCAGCTTTCAAGCTTACAGACCCACACACACACCTTGGACAAATATTTGGCTGACTTAGGACAGCCTTAAGACAAGCCTCCCAAACACACATACAGACCCCCCCACACACCCACACACACACACACACACGTATACACACACACACACACGTATACACGCACACAGAAACACACATATCAAGTCTTTGTATTCCAAAAGGAGCAGTGGGTCCTCTTAGAAATTGGCCTGACACTGTTAGAGCACACATACACACATACAGGCACAATATTGTATACACATTTATACTGATTTCTTATTTCAATCTGATTCAACAGTATTTTTTAAGCTAATGAGAAGCAAGATTTATGATTTCATTTGGTTTAAATCTCTGCAATCCAAACAGTATCTAAAACCACGTCTGAGTCTGTGTACCTTCCTGCCTCCCTGACCTCGGTCTGTGCTCTGACTGCAGTGATACAATCAGCTGGTTATCCATTAGCTCTTGCCGACTGCGCTTTCTTGCCACCTCATCTCACTGCATCTTAAAGGGAACATTAATCCAGGCAGAGTTAACAAGGGTATATCGTGCAGGCCGTGACGATTATGGCCAAACAGAATCCAAACAAATAGCAAAATAACTGTATTTATTTACTAATATAACTGGCATAGACATGATGCTAAAATTTTTAACTTGATATCTATACCCAGGAAATAATTTGATGCTTGGTAATTATTAGACAGGAAAAATAAAAATAATTTAAGGCATAAAAAAATCTTTTATAAAACAGAAGGAAACACATTTTAAAATCTCAACATGGAACTTGCCTTCTCAGAAGAATCACAGATGCTGGTTAAATGGGTATGCAAATAAAGACAAATACAATGAAAATGTCAATATTTCAAAGGGTATATTAGTTTAATGTACATATAAAATCAAACAAATCTAGAATTCACAATTTGTAATGCTAGATTATTATTCCATATGGATGCAACATCTTAGTATCAGTACTCTTTGGAGTATCTCTACTTTTGAAAACCCTAAATACAACTGAAAGCAGCTAATTATATAATTAGCAATAACATAAAAAGTTGCTTTTTTTTCGTTTCATCATTATTGCATATTCTGGCTCAGTGAGTTAGTATTAACAGAATTGTTTCAAATCTTCTGAGTCCCAAAATTAACAACAAATAACTTAAGATGACGTTTTATTCCCTATTTAGTTATACATTTTTTCTATATTAACTAATTTTCCATTCTGAAAAAATGGGAGAAGCGTGCAAACTGGAGAACACCTCACCATTTAAGAAGTATGGAGGTGGAAAAATGGCCTGTGACAGCAAAAGACGTGAATGAGTAAAGACTGTAATTTAATTGAATTGAATTCAGTTTATTTATATAGCGCCAATTCACAACACATAT